GCACACTTCCTGGGCCTCCCCCTAGCTGAAATTGACGACAACGTTGATGGATGAACCGCCCCCAACGGGCTTAGTTGCCGCTACAACAACAACAACATCGTATTTTCCATTCTCAATATTACAAATACATACATTGTCAATCAGTGATTTGTACTGATTACTTCTTCTTCTTCTTTATTGGCGCTGTAACCGCCTAAGCGATTTTGGCCGAGCCCAAAACAGCACGCCGGTCATTTCTCTTCTGTGCTAAATGATGCCAATTGGAAATGCCAAGTGAAGCCAAGTCCTTCTCCACCTGGTCTTTCCAACGCAGAGGAGGCCTTCCTCTGTTACCAGCATCGCGGGCCGTGTTGAATATGTTCATAGCACGAGCGTTTCTGTCCATTCGAACGACATGGCCAAGCCAGCGGAGCCGCTGAATTTTAATTCGCTGCACTATGTCTATATCGTTGTAAAGCTCATACAGCTCATCGTCTGCGATATTCGCCATCACCAACGCGTAAAGGTCCGTAAATCCTTCACATAATCTTTCTCTCGAAAACTCCAAGAGCCGCTTTATCAGATGCTTTCATTGGCCGTGCCTCCGCGCCATACACCTGCACAGGCATGATGAGTGACGTATAGAGTGTGATCTTTGTACGACGAGAGAGGGCTTTACTTCTCAATTGCCTACTCAGCCCAAAGTAGCACTTGTTAGCAAGAGTGAATCTACGTTGGATTTCAAGGCTGACATTATTATTGGTGTTAATGCTGGTTCCCAAATAAACGAAGTCGTCTACTTTTTCAAACTTGTAACTGTCAACAGTGACGTGGGTGCCAAGACGCGTAAGCTCTGACAGTTTGTGTGATGACAGGAGATACTTCGTTTTGTCCTTGTTCACCACCAGACCCATTCGCTTTGCTTCTCTATCCAATCCCGAGAAGGCAGAACAGACGTAGCCCTTGTTTTTTTACCGATAATATCGATGTCGTCGGCATACGCCATACGTGTTCTGATTACATTCCTTTTAAATTACTGGACTCTTAAATGAACTCAGGAGTTTTTTTACTCTTCACCTATTTCTTGCTAAATATGTTTCTTTTTTTGTCCGTAACCCATATTGATATACATATTTTAGTTACCTTATTCCCTTAATTAATGTGAATTCGATTTTTTAAACATGTGGCTACCCTTGCACGTGCCGTTTAGAAGTAAAGCATTTTCAAAAACATTTCAATCGATACCCATATTGTAATATCTAATTCATTTAACTTATTAAATAATTTGAATAAAATTTGGTGCAGCTGGCAACCCGGTTCAAAAAAATAAAACTTCATTGCACATCTACAGGCCAAGCGCTGTCATTTGACACCTCACTTTTGAAAACTGGACGAACTATATGTACATACCAGTGGCCTGCGCGATTATGTTAGTATCGTACGAGTACGTTATTAACTAACACTTCTGATGATTACCACGATGCCAAAGTAGCGTAGTTGCTCGACATCGCCGCATCGTCGCCTCGTACGATTACTAAAAGCATCGTCGAATAGTAAAAACATAGCAGAGTAATAATTCTGCTAATAAATTGGCAGCGCCTGCATCGTCAATAGCAGTGTGATCAGATAATCACAAAACCACATTAACTATACCTGCATACTGAATTTTTTATTTACTTCAGCATGAATTAATTCATAGTCATAGAAATTAAATATATTTCAATTTAGCAGAAACGATAGCATGAAGTAGGAGTGGGAAATAAAAAAATTAATTTAATTAATTAGTTTTCAAGACCCATTCGTTCCCGTAAGCCAAAAATATTGTATTTGTCTTAATCCACAGAATTTCCTCTTTCATTAGTGATTCTACATTGCACTGAATTTTTTAAATAGATTTTTGAAGCAATCGTATCTTTAAAATTACAAGGTCCTTTTAAAAACCCTGACATAAGAGAGAAACTCTACAAACGAAGTTTTACTATAGTTTCGTAAGTACATATTTTGATTGCTACCATTTATACCAATTTTTTTGTACCGTTTCATATTCATCAAAATGATGAAACTCTATGTAAAGTGGGGAATTTATAAAAAAAAAATTTATCTAAAATAGCTACCACGATTTAAAAGAGCTAAGAAAATAGCTAATAGCTAAACGCAAATTTCTATAGCTAAACGTCCAAAATCATACCTACAAAATACCTCAACTGGTAACACGGGAACAAAAATTCTTTTCTTTTTAATTTTCGTGTATTATAAAAAAATAACATATTCTCTAAACACGTACATTTGTTATGTAGTTTGCATTTGAATCGCTCTTCTATTTAGTGTAATTTAAAATATTTTGTTTGTCGATTCGCCAATGCATTTCAAAGAAAATTATCTGATTTATAGGCCTGCCTTTACGTCCATCAAGTTTTTTTTTGTGGTCAAAAGATTGGTACAATACAGCGATGTGCTATTGAAAAATTTCAACAAACTAATTTTCGTGATTGGGATAAAGAAAAATATTTGGGTATTCACACAATTGGGATACGATTTGCACCAATTTTGGCAAATATTCAATCGTGTGACACTGCCTTTTGTATTTATACGGATGTTGGTAAAGAACGAACTATAAAAAACTAACCAAAATTAAATAACAACAAATATAATATTTTATAACTTGTGAGAGTTTTGTGCGGCTATAATTTTTTCGACTACTGAACAATGTACAAAAACAGTGCGGGTTTTCCGGCGGGATTATCAAACCTTGTACATTTTAAGACTTCTACTAAAATATTTCTGAAAAATAATAAGATTTACGTGAGCTGGACTGGTTTGAAAATACCTCTAAAATGTAGTTTTTTATGAATAAAAATAGTTTCTTAAAGGATTTTTTGGAAAAAAACCTCCCAGATGAAAAAAACAGTTTAAGCTTAAAAAATCTACATAAAAATATTAAAAAATTGTATCAACGGAATCATAATAATAAGAATTTGATGCTGTTTTTTAACTTTTTTCAAAGGTTTGGGTAAGAAAAACTTGAATAACTGCTCCAACACTTTACCGATATAGACTTATGAGGTATCAGTGGAAAGGTATTTTCTCTCCTTTTTTATTTTTTTGCAAAACAAACTTATTCACGTCCCAAAGTTTTCTTTATCAAATACCAACACATCTTAACTCAACATGGAATGACACGCGTTTATCTTACCTTCCTCTTTCATACTTTGAATGAGCTGATTTGCAAAGAAATTCAAAGGGTGAGAAAATACCTTACCAATGATACCTCATAAGTTTAAATTGGTAGGGTTTTTGGCTGAGTTATTCAAGTTTTTCTTAAACCAGTCTTTGATAAAAGTTCAAAAACAGAATCGAAAATCTCATTAATTATGATTCCGTAGAAAATTTTTTTAAAATAGTTTTATACAAATTTTTTAAGCTTAAACTGTTTAGTAATCTGAGGGAATTTTTTTTCAAAAAATTTTTAAAAAAAAACTTTTTTTTTTAATAAAAAACTCAATTTTTGGAGGTGTTTTCAAATCGGTTCAGAAATATTTTGGTAGGTCTTAAAATATAAAATATAATAGATTTCATAATTCCAGTGGAAGAATAGTACCGATTTTTTCTTGTATGGGGAATGATGCAATCTACTGTACATTCATATATAATACGCGAAGGCATTTTTTGTTCCGCATAAAAGATCTGCACCGTTCGTTCCATTTTCAAAAATGGGGTGTCAAATTAAAGCGCTTGGGCTGTAGATATGTAAACTGGTTTTATTTTTTCGAAAAGAGTTGCCACCTGTGGAACAATTAAAACCAAATTTTTCAATAATCAATACCATCAGATCCGTACCGTTCGTTCGATTTTGAAAAGTGGGGTGTCAAATTAAAGGGCTCGGGCTATAGATGTGCAATAGGGATTTAAGTTTGTATGAAAAGAGATGCCACCTCTTAAAAACTTATCTATATTCAAATTATTAAAAAAAAATATCAATTATTCAAAATGGGTATTTATCAAAATATTTTTGAAAAGCTTTGTTTTTTAACTTAACTATAGGAGGGTTGCCACCTGTTTAAAAAATAAATTCAATTTGAGTTAAGGGAAATACGTAAGAGAAAAAAGTATGTATCACCATATGGGTTCCAAACGATGTGGCTTTAAAAAAGTAATGGTTTGAAAATATTTTTAAGAAGGTTGATTGAAATGTCGAATTTAGTTAACTTATACACATATTATATGAAACATCAAATGAATGTCAAACGAGAGTGTGTAAAAAGTCTTTACTTTCAACGCTGTTTAAATAGTTAAATTCAAAGTATTTAATAAGTTAAATATATTATTAAAATTTGGGTTTTTATTTAAGGGGATTCAAAAATATTTATTTCTGAACTATATTTAGTGGGGTTCCCACATGTTTAGAAAATAAAACTCAACTTTATTCATCACTTAATTGAAATATGTATCGCAATGTTAGACAACGGAGCCTTAACAAGAATTTAGCTTGAAAATACTTTTCAAGAAGGCTGCCAGGTTTAATTTAATTAACTAATGCAAAATTTATGTGAATTATATAAATAGGGGAGTCAAACGAAACAGGTAATATTTAGCCTGAACATTTGAAACGTTTGAGAAGGGCTGCACCGTGATTAAAAAGGTACATTCAAATATTTCAACAAGTTCGCCGAATTATTAAAGGATGGGTATCAATCGAAATGGGTTTGAATACTCTTCATTTCGGACCTTTATTTAGGAGGGTTCCAGCATGTTTGAACAATCAAATTCAAATTAGTTCATCTGCTACTGAAACGCACGTGTGTCACGTCAGGCGAAAGAGATGTAAGAAGATTTTAGTTTGAAATAACTTTTGAGGACTTCCACCTGTGTGAAAAGTCGAATTTAGTTAACGTTTACACTAGTTTTATGAAATATTTTGATATGGGAGTGAATCGAACGAAATTTATGAAAGCTTTAGTTTGAAAATATCTTTATTTGGGCTGGCCTCCTTTTCGAAAAAAAAAAAACATATCAATCTAAAAGTATATGTATGTGTATTATACGAGATGGTATTTTGTGTGATAGTCATTCGATTCATCGTTCCTTTAACTTTCAAAAATTACGGGTTCATATTAAAAAGGGGGTAGATGTGCTATAGTTTTCTTTTTTTTACTTAAGATCTTTTGTTTCGGTAAATGATTTGAAATTTGATGTAATCAAAACCCTGCACTATGAGAAACCTCTTCACTAAAAACGGCTACAGGGATTTGGATGAAATATGGCACTTTAGAGTCTTCGTAGTCTTCGTAGAATATGTATGTTTTGTTAATAACGCGAAAATAGTAACTGCTTACCTGAATAAGATTCATCCTATACTCGGCTACAGTTATTTTGCCGTTTTGTCCGTTAAGAATAGCAAAAATTCCATTTAGCAAAAATTCCACCGAGTCGAGCGTCACACATTTTTGCGATAAATTCTTCAAAGTTTCCAGAGATTCATGCCTAGTTTTATCGTTCTTGCAATACAAATTTTGCAATAGGATTTTTCCAAAAGACATCGCATATTGGCTTAAATCTATATTTAACTCAAGTAGAACTATGCTCATGGTTTTTATAGACACCTCAGGACTCCTTAAGATAGATTTATGCAAAGCCGGATAAATGCTTTCTTCAAATTCTATTTGAGTAAGTACTTGCAACAACGGTCGACATGCAAATATTAGAGTATCGTTGAGCTTCGTTTTGTTCATTATAATTCCTTTTACAAAGTGATCACGTAATTCACATTTGTACTTGCCAAAATAATCTTCACGATTAATACTTTTCTCGAATCGTACGAGAAGCATTAAAAAAATAACAATGTTGCACGAAGGTTCTTTTCCTATGGCTGTGGAAAAACATAGTTTGTATATCTCGATATTTTGCCACGAATCAAAAAATATTTTCTCTCCCATTTCTATTATACGCGTGTTACGGGAGAGGAGAATATGTTGATACAATAAGCTTTGATAATCTACTATTTTAGTGTACTCTGCTATAAAAATTTTCGAGTTGATGTCAGCAGTTTTTATTATTATATCTGTCCATCCTATAGCAATTAGAGAAAATTTTGCCGATTTCTGAGGCTGAAACGTGGTAAGATCCTTATTTATAACCGACTTTATTACTGCACAAAAATTTTCTACGGCCGCGTCATGATGGCGTTTAATAATATCCACAATCAAATTTCTTACAAGAAGTTGAGAGGGCGAATCCTTATACTTAAACAACGTTGTGCCAATAACTTTACATATCCCTTTAACAATAGCAGCATTAACTCCTAAAAATATACATGAATACATGTTTTAGGGCATAAACTACAAAAATTATACGCAATTTGCATTTCTGTTCATTATTAGGTGCATGTTTTATTTTGTATTCATACTTAGCTTACCAGGATTGTTCAAGATGGACGCAACATTACGGAACAGATCGGGCCGCTCTTCTATAGAAACTGAAAGTACTCGATTCGGTAAATCTCTTAACGCCTTCGATAACTATAAGAACATTCCATCAAATCCCAATAAACGTATAAAATTTTAATTAAAAGCAAACCTCAACATCCGCCATCTTTACTCTGTGCTTAGGAATCAAACTAGAACTGGAAAACTATCGCTGGCACTATCGATGGCTTTTAACTATCGAAAACATCGATCTTTCTTAATCGCTATCGATAGTTTTCACTCATAAATACATTAGGGTCTTTCTCTAACAATCCGGACCGGATCCGGTTATTAGGGTATAACCCAGCCAGTCAAAAGTAGTAAAAAATCTGGTGAAACCGCGCGTTTCATTCACTTCAAAACTGGTGAAAAATCTGGTGAATTTTGTATAGGCGGTGTGCAGATTTTCACCAGTTTCCCCCTGTACGCGTAAGCCTTGCATCACTGTCGCACTCATTCAGATACTTCGTAAGGAAAACATATTGTGACAAATACTGCGGCAACGCGAAGCGAACAACGAGAGATTGGCAGAATGTTCAAAGAATGATGTAGAATGTTCCACAAAGAGAAACGTCAAGTTGGATGAACACTGCGAACAGCGAGAGAAAGAGAATGAGCGATAAACTTCAGAACGTTCTAGAGTTGCCATAAGTACGAGAGCAGGTATTTAAGGGCGCCGCCACAGCGAAGTGGGTCAGTTACAAGTCAGCATTCCCACGACAGCCGGTTCTACGTACCGGAATGACTCGGGTTTTACCCGACCAAGGGCTGTTGTTTCGGCGATCTAACCCCGTCTAGATCGGCGATACCCACCAATCATTATTCGTCCATGGAGCAATACCTTGCAGCCGGATTGCTCCGCATCCTTCTTCTCCGGGCGGGCGTACAGCCCAACCCCGGACCTGAAATTTACTTCTGCTGTGTTTGCCAGAATCGACTCCACCCGAACTCCACTTCGGTTAGGTGCAACTCCTGCAACGGATGGAGTCACCTAAGAACCTGCTCTGGCCTTAGGTCTCACCGGGAGTGGACCACAAACTTTGTGGCTCCCTGTTGCTCAAGCCAAATGGCACAATCAGCCTCCACGGCTACCCACTCGCGTAACGCACGGGTGCGACCTAGCACCCGAAGAGCATGCACGGCCCCCAGAAGCTCCCCTGAGCAACAGCAAACCTCCCAACACACCCCACCCACACAACCTACCGGCCGGTCCCACTCGCGAGCGCGAGCCAACCAGCAGCTACTGGTTGCCCACACCATCTGCTCCGTGTGCCAGAACAGAATATACCGGAATGTGACATCAATCAAATGCAACACATGCCTTGGCTGGTGCCACTTCCGGCTATATTCTGGTCTACGCACCACGCGCGAGTGGACTACCAACTACAGCGCCCCTTGCTGTAGTGCACCGCCGGCGCAGACAACAACGCCCACATCGCAGCCACCTACCATCAGGCTGCAACAGTAACTGAGTCAGGCGCAACAGGCCCAAGGTAAGCCCCACACTTCCCTCACTCCCCGTATCGCGACCAGCTTCCCAAGGCATACGAATGTACTCCAACTCAACTGCAACGGACTACAGAGCAAGATTGAGGAGATAGCAGTCTTCATGGGTCGGCACGGCATATTGATAGCTGCGGTCCAAGAAACGAAGTTGCACAGGAACTCAACTTTGTTGGGTTGCGCCGCCTACAATGTGCTCCGTAAAGATCGCGAGCGAGATAATGGTGGAGGATTAGCGTTCATTCTACACCACACAGTGCAGTATCGGCTAATCGAAGAAGACATCGACCCAAGGGACACTACCCTAGAATGTCAGGGCATAGCTGTCCGGTCAGGCGATGTCAAGCTCGAAATATTTAACGTGTACATACCCCCTGTCACCTGCTGCCCGGCTGGATATCTCCCTGACATAGGTGCGCTACTCAGAGGCGAAAACCGACTGGTAGTAGGTGACTTCAATGCGCACCACGATCTTTGGCATTCAAGCCTGGCCAATTATCGGAGGGGAAACATTTTGGCTCAGCGGATAGACGATTCGACATTCTGCACCATGAACGACGACGCCCACACCAGGATTGTGGGCAGCTGCAGCAGCTCGCCAGACCTAACAATTGCTAGCACTGGTCTGATAAATAGCATATCATGGCGACCTATGCTATCGTTAGCATCAGACCATCTGCGCATAATCATCTCGATCAATAAGCCCACCGACTTTGCTCCCGCGGATCACCGAACCTACACCAACTTTAACAAAGCTGAGCAAATGAGCGTGACCACCTACGCCAGGTCGACCCCGGGGACCCTCGCTTGAGGGACCTTAATTTGGACGGCAACTGGTAAATCAACATAAGCGGAAAAAGTGGGAAGAGCACTTGAAGGCCTGTAACTTCACCTATGGTGTGAGTAAGCTCTGGTCAACCGTGAGGTCCTTGTCCAACCCGACGAAGCGTGATGACAGAGTGGAAATCTCATTCGAAGGTCACGCCTCATCGGACCCGAAGAAATGCGCGAACTATTTTAGTCGGCAATTCACACTGCATCCTTCGGTAGACAAGGCCAAACGTCGAGTGACCAGCAGGCTGCACAAACTGCCCAAAAACAGTGCACCACTTGTTTTCACCAGCGGTGAAGTGAAGGGGGCCATCGGGAAGGCGAAAGCCTCCAAAGCCATTGGACCCGACGGAATCTGTATGCTGATGTTGAAACATTTGGGGCCTGTGGGAGTAGCATACCTCACGGAGGTCCTCAATTTGTCTATGACCACTCTCATCATTCCTGATGTGTGGAAATCAGGGAGAGTGGTCCCACTGCTGAAACCGGGGAAGCCCGCCAACAGAGGAGACTCTTATCGCCCGATAACGCTCCTTTCCCCGGTCGCGAAGACACTTGAGGCCCTGCTGCTCCCATACTTCACCTGCCACCTAACCCCAGCGAAACATCAGCATGGCTTCCGTAAAGTGCACAGCACAACAACAGCACTTAACGCCATAAACACCCAGATAACTCGTGGCCTAAATCGCAACCGCCCCTGTGAGAGAACTGTCCTAGTAGCGTTGGACTTGTCAAAGGCGTTTGACACCGTCTGCCATTCCACGCTGCTAGAAGACATTGAGGCCTCCTCTCTCCCACAGGGACTGAAGCGATGGTCGGCGAATTATATGAGTGGTCGACAATCATCAGTAATCTTCAGAGATCAAACCTCGAAACCAAGAAGAATAAAACAAGGGGTTCCACAAGGTGGTGTTTTCTCCCCCTTACTTTTTAACTTCTACATCTCGAAACTCTCCCAGCCTCCTGAAGGAGTTTCCCTGATCTCGTACGCTGATGATTGTTCGATTTCGGCGTCCGGGAATGGAACTGATGACCTCTGCTCAAAAGTAAACGGTTATCTCTCCAGCCTTTCTCGCTTCTTCACTGCAAGGAGCCTAACCCTCTCCCCAACGAAATCAACGGCGACCCTCTTCACCACCTGGACGAAGGAGGTCAGGCTAGAATTAGGCATTCCCGTCGACGGCACACCTATACCGACGGTGAACAACCCAAAAATTTTAGGGGTTACCTTTGATAGCCTGCTCTCCTTCTCCGCGCACACAACCGCAGTTGTCAACAAAGTACAGAGCCGCAACAAGGTCCTCAAGTCGCTCGCCGGCTGCACTTGGGGCAAAGACAAAGAAACGTTGCTGGTAACATACAAGGCAATTGGCCGGCCGGTTCTAAATTATGCAGCGCCTTATGCAGACTTGTCAGAACGCCGCACTCCGGACAGCGACTGGGTGCCTTCTGATGACGCCTGAGCACTACCTACACAGCGAGGCCCAAGTGCTCCCCGTACGGGAACACAATAAAATGCTCAGTAAGCAGTTTCTGGTGGGGTGTCACAGAAGCGAACACCCTAACAGACCACTGCTGGAGGAGGAGCCTCCGCCCAGGCACGTCAGGGGGCACCTATTCGTGTACAAGGACGCAGTCCAGACCTACACAGGCCAACCACTGGACCCAATGACGTACAGACAAGCGATTAACGACATTCATAGGGAGTCAGTCTCCACCTACCTCGACTCCAGGCCTAAGAATGTCGTTAGCGGAGCCCAATCACCACTTGTGGAAGAGACGGAGCTTCAATTACCTTGAGAGACCCGCGTTACTCTGGCTCAGTTACGGTCTGGATATTGTAGCCGCCTAAACAGCTACCTGTCCAGACTCGACCCAAACATCCCAAATGAGTGCCCGGCATGTGAAGACTCCCCCCCACGACACCAACCACCTCTTCACATGCCAGCTCAATCCGACTCAACTAACACCCCTCTCCCTTTGGTCCGACCCCATCGAAACAGCTCGTTTCCTGGGCCTACCGTTAGTTTAGCTCGACGATAATGATTAAAAAGTTGACCCGAAACAGGCGGGGCTTAGTAGTGCCGCTACAACAACAACAGTTACAAGTCAGCAAGCTACAAGTAAAGTGAGCGGAGAAGTGAGTTGCGAATAAGCAAGCTATAAGTTTAATTGTGTTAAAAAGTAGTAAAGCGTTGTTATTGCTTTAACAAGTATTGTAAAGTGTTTTTACTGTATTAGCAAGTATTGTAAATTTTTGTTGTACAATAAAGTTAATTGTACTGCAATTTGGTCATCGTTAGCATTTATTTAACAATCCAGCGATACGAGCCCGAGTATATTTGGGAAATCCCTCAAGGGCCATTCACATACAACTTTCCTCGCTTGGCTTGACAGTTCAAACTTTGACAACAAAGCGTGAAACGCAGAAGGTATGCTACAATAAACGCTTTGACAGTTTTTGCATTCTCCTTTTCCTCCATATTTTTTATCTGTAAAATAGATAACTAGATAATAATATGCATTAATAATAGCAATAAAAATTACTATTTACCCTATTTTTGTCATTAAATGCCAATGCAAGCGCACGAGAAAAGATACATGTAGGCAGCTGATTGCCAAAGCGGGCAAAAGTTGAGAATTGCCCAAGATTTTGCTTCGTTTCGCTTTGCTTTGCTTCAAACGTTTTTTATGTGAGCATACTCATGCATATGCCTACATCGGTCTTATATGTCAAAGCAAAGAACTATCAAGCTAAGCGAAGAAAGTTGTATGTGAATCAGCCTTCAAGGTTTGGTGGATAATCGTAACAACTGGTGTCAGAAGTGGGATTGTTAAATAAATCCCGAA